TGACCGCGCATTATACGAAATGTTTGTCTCAGATCGCCACGTAGCTGCCTGTAACTTAACGGAAATAGATCGAGATCAGTTAAACGTGTTTTATAGGTAATCAGCCCTGACCGGTCACCAGTTTGGTCGCGCGCCTTCGGACCTTCTCGAGGGAATTTAGGTCTTTTGCGGTCCAGGGTTTCAATGCTTGGATGGCGAACGCCAGTTTCGGCCGCAAAAATGTTCCAAAGACCTTGGCAAAGCAGTCTTTATCGAAGACACAGAAAGCCCTCTTCACAAGATACAGTACGGGCATCGCATACTTGGCTTCTTTTGCGCAATGCAGTGAGGGCTTAGGAGGCATAGAGATACACACTCTCAAATCTTTCTGCGCGTCCACTTCTTGTAGTTGGATGCCATTCAGGCTGTAAACCATGGGATTCTGAGAGGTGGGTGGGCCAACCCGTAGGATACTGCATTTGTTCTCGTTAAAGGACAAAGGCCAGTCTTTAGACCAAGTTTGAAGACGGTTTAGGTTTACTCGCAAACGCTCTTCGTCAGCTAAATTTCTGACGACGTTCCAAATCTTTATGTCATCGGCAAACATAGCCACATCACAGTCCAGTTCATGGACGCAGTCTTTGATTTATATAATAAACAGTATAGGGCCAAGGACAAAGCCTTGGGGAATGCCGCTCTCGACCCCAACGTCTGCTAACTGCTGGTCACCCATATGGACAGTTTCAGAGCGGCCAAGTAAGAAGCTTGGAATCTACTTCAGCAGATTTCCTCGAACACCAATTTGGCTGAGTTTATGAAGAAGTCGTTGATGTGGGACGCAATCAAATGCCTTCTTGAAGCCGATGTAGACTACATTAAGCGGATTTCCTCCATCAACTGCCCGAGTCCAGCGTTCCAAACAATAGAGCAAGTTTGTCACGCAGGACATGCCTCCGCGGAATCCATGCTGCGCATCCGAGAGAATGTTATGCTGCTCTAGGCAACGCAACAGCTCTCGCTTTACTACTTTTCCCATAATCTTGCAACAGATAGAAGTAAGGCTGATTGGTCTAAAATTGTTTGCAGAACCCTTTCTGCTGCCGTTGTACAGCGGTGCGATCCGTGCGGATTTCCAATCGGCGGGTAAACAGCCTGCTTCAAACGAGGTAGTGAAAGCTATGGAAAGCGGTTTGGCTAGCTCCTCAGAAAGTTCTCTCAGTAGATTAGGCAGAATATCATCAGGACCAGATGATTTCGAGTCGTTTAGTACCAACACATCCTGAAGAACAGCTGCTTTGGTGAAAAAGACATTTTCAATGTTTGGACCGTCGTTTAAGCAATAGTTGGGAGGGATGAATCCGATTTCAGTCGTAAAGTTTGATTTGAAAAATTGTGAGTGATGCTCAGCTTTCGCTCCATCCTCACTCACCTGTTCCGTCGCTTGCCTTCAGAAGGGGAACTGGGTCCCGGTTTCGTGTGGTCTTTCTTAAGTAGCCATAAAATAACTTCGGATTTGTAAATGCCCGGTTTAGTAAATCTTTTTCAAAGTCTTGGCGCGTCTTGAAGATAAGTTGCTTCACGAGGTGAATGCAGATTGGGGTCACCACTGTACCAATATTCGACCCATCGTTGTTTCGCATTTAATAGGTATGGCTACACACTATGCCGTTGCCTCGTCAAGATTAAGGTTAGGTTTATGATA